GCTATAGTGGCAGACAATGCTAATCAAAAAGGTAGGCGAAGAAAGATGACATAATGGAGAGTGTAAGTGTATGTGAGGTGTTCTAGGGGATAAGGTAGGGTCTACCTCTCTACCAATATATCACAACTCGTGTTTTGGGTTCAGTCATTCGTCATTGGAAAAGTTCCACTCGTGTATTCATAGGGCTTGAGCTACGTGGGGGGAGGCTGCAGAAGAAGACGTTTTCTAAGAGGGGGTTCGCTTGTCATTTCTTTTTTCTATTCTAATTTCTTGATATCATTTCATATATATGGTAGAGGAATTTCTAGTCTGTTCAGTTTGTACCAGGGTGGGTGAAAATCGCGCGACTTCATATCACGACAGTTATATCAACTTTCCATTTTTCGTGAGTTTATCCGCGAAGAAAGAAGATCTTCTCCTGGAAGAAGTTTATTTCATCAATAACTATTGCGATGAAATTATGTCATCGTCACTTGATGAGAGTTTATCTTAGGCTAGGAAGATTGACTGTTTCTGTTATGGCTTGGACAAATTGAAGCAGAGAATGGTTTTGATAATCAACAACTGAGGACAATATGTAGACAGAGGAGGTCAACAAAGGGATGAATGAGAGACTGAGAATTTGAGAGGGAGGGGAGGGTGGGGGATTAAGTTAGCACTAGCTCATACTGAAAACATATAGAGCTTTACTATTAATAGAACTGTTGGTGTCTTGATCTCGGATATAAGAAAAAATTTCAAAAAGGAAACCATATCAGACAACATTAATAGAGAAAGCATAATGTCAGGTAATTTAGTCAGCCCATAAATCCATACAAGTTTGACATATCCTTTTTAGGTACGAATCGTGTCTCCAAAAACTGAAAACTGCTAAAAAGCAAACATCTTCTTCAAGAATTAAAGCAGCAATCGGATATTTACCGACAAAGATTTTAAGAACGTATTCTAAAGATGAAAGAGCGAGATGGCTGGAAAAGTCGACGACTGTATCTAATTATTCAAGCCGAATTATGGGCTTTTCTACAATAAGTATACAGTAATCTGGTCTAATCCCACTTAATTAGAGATAAATATAATGTCACATGTAAACTACCAAGATTAATAACGGAAAAATTAACTTAGGTGGATGGCGTCATAAATTCAAAAGGAGTCGAGAAAAGGGATGTGGCAATTTGCGTTTCGTTGGTCCAGTTCAATAAAACGACGAATGCTAAAAAATATTATGCTATCAACTAGTAGCGTGTTAAAGTCTGTTAACGATGTCCTTTTAGCGGGTGAAGCCATTCCGAAAAGCTCATTATATACTCCTTAACTGTCTTTTTTCAGAGTGTTTGTCCTTTGAATAAAAACAGGATTAATTTTCATAAACCGGACACAGAAAGAACTCTCTCGACATATCTTAAAGAGCACTGCTTTAGGGATTTACTAAATTTTCTAGTCAAGTTCAAATTTGATGATAAAAGATTAACGAAAGAACAATAGAGAAGCAAGAGTTTCTAATTATAGCAGCTGTTGAGAGTTTTTCTGCAAAAAAATTCTTGGCCTTTTAAGAAATATCTGCTGCCAAAAAATTAGAGACTTTGAGGTTTGACCGCGACAAGGTGAGGCCCGCGAATGAGCTTAAAATATCAATCGTCTAGTTTCGAAAATAATCTTAGTGTACAAGTTGATACAACAACTTCAAAACTTTTCCAGGTTTTTTTTTTCATTCTTGCACTGTTTAATTCCAGGAATGTTTCTTTGTTGTTGTTCAAGTGTTTGCCCGGTAAAAGGTAATTTACTTGACTAATTGGTGTGAGGTGCTATTGTTACACAAATCGCAACATTTGAATAAGGACACAAGGGAGCGGAAAAAGTCTCTGAAGTTAAACGGAAACTACTTAGATATTCCATCTGTTTCTACGACGAAAAGAATTTCAAAATTAAAAGATGGATGCAATAAACTCGAGGCCAATAAAAATAGGAAACTTAATTTCACGGTGACAAGGATTTTTTCGGGCACAAGAAGATACTTGTGTGCGTGCCGTGCGTTGGACAGCACGCGAAAGTGCCTGACAGATTACAACGACTCAAAGCTTTATATACACGATTTTCATAATAGCCGCGGCGGGCGAGACTGGTAATTACTTAAACATGAAACCGAGGTCAGAAAGGCCACGCTTGAGGACAACACTGTAAACAAAAGGTCCACCAAGGTTGAATAGGTGATCTGTCTTGACTCGATTCGGTCGAATTATTTACAAGAAGAGGAAATGCCGACTCATTGTTATGTTCCAGAATGTACGAAGAAATGCTACCGGATAGACGATGGGACAAAAGAGTCTTATTTTTAATTTCCGACCGAGAACCCGTTAAGAAGAAATGCCTCCACGCGATAAGAAGAGACGAAAGAAAGCACTTCAAGGTAACTGAAAATACAAAGATATGCTCCCAGCATTTCAGGAAGGGTTATATTAGAAATATCTCGTGGTCAAAAATGAATTAAGAGATGGAGTTGTCCCTTTTGTGTTTTCATGGATTCGAACATCGCCACGCAAAGGAAAGGATGGCGGAAACACTGAATCGAAAAGTGCATCACGAAAATTGTCTACCCCACTGTTGTTCTTGAAGAATTATCAAGTGAATCGTCAAACGAATCACCAAACGAAATGGTCCCAGATCTACCAGATTGTAGCTTAAAAGTTGAGTATCTTTATCATTTCCTACTGGTGGTCAAAAACTGACAACATATCTGGGTCTGATTACAGTGAGGGCAGACTACTTACAAAAAGGGGGGGGCTAGATCTTTAAGGATGATGAATTTTGATGAATTTTTTATAGTCATGTGTAGACTAAGGCAAGGATTCCCAGAGGACCATCTAGCTCAATTATTTAATGAATCTGCATCCACAGTAAGTAGAATATTTATCACATGGGTCAATTTTATGTTCTTTAAGTTTGGACAAATAAACATTTGGCTCAGCGGAAAAGTAATCGATACAATACCTGAATCTTTTAACTCTTTATTGCACACAAAAAAATGGCGAGTGACGACAACCTTTTTTCTTTTATTTTTTATGTCAATAGTATTTACACTAGTGAGAAGTGCTATATCTCATTTGAAAGAGGACAAAATAAGCTTTGCAGAATAAAATATTTGCCTTCAAAACTCCATGTGTTTTAAATCATGCTAAGAAAATGGCATACAATTTGCATAAATTATCAGACGACTTTTGACTTTGAAACAGCCTGGGCTTGAATGGAATGGAGTTACAGGAAAAATTTCCCTGATAAAATATTCCTTATATTATGGGCAAGACATCCAGAGAATCTGGCTGAAAAAGAACAAATACAGAAGTAATTAGAATTCTGCACACAAGAAATAACGAATTTGACTTCAGACCTCAAAGAAACTTTTCTTAGAAGTCATGCTATTCCCAAAAGCCTTAAGGAAAACTTCAGGATTGGTCGAAGCCATAATGAGGGTTAGCCACTCTTCTGACACACTGTCCATCATCTAAACACGTCTGTTGACAGCTACATAAGTCTGCATATAGCTTACGTAGAGCTGTCCTCCCCCCCGCTTCCGTCTCACTTTGGGGGGGAGGGGAGGGAAGGTACGACTACACGTAGGCTAGTCTACATACTAAGCTTTCATACACTGTGTGGGGTCAAGCTAAACTTGCCCGATTGTAAGAAATCTTCCATGTCGAGTATGTCTTTGGGCATCTCATGGTCAATATTAATACTACTTTTTTAAAATAATTTAGCGAAGTTGCTACATGCCGTCATCGTCAATCGCAGTGTAAGTCAGCGAGTTTCCTTGCTTTGAATCCTTGAAATAGTTTCAACTTTATACCACAAACAAATGGAATTCTCAACAAAAAGTTGACGTACGAAATATATATCAAATTTCGCAGTCATGTGAGGAGGAACTGGTAACCAAGGCTGCTGTCACCCCTCACTCCTCTCTAAAATCGATGTTCTTTAGAATTCTCACAACGACTAAGGATTAAACAAATTTGTTCCACAATAAGGACAATCGCGTTCTTCTCATTAGTGATTAAAAAGCGAAGCCTCTGGCTCATGTCCATGATAAATAAACTTTTTACAATTAAATTAGCTGAAAAAGCGAAACTTACCGTGAATGAAGGGAGGGGAAAAAGAATTGTTGGAGGAAGGAATAGAAAGACGTAGGAGACTGGAAGATTTCAGTTTCCTCTCTCAATTGTGATAGGTAACTTGAATTTGTTTGTTTAATTTATCAACACACTTGATAAATTACTGAAGAACAACTAAAATTCTTATTTAAAAAATATCAATGAACAATAAACCATCAAGTAGACTACGTGCGCCTTAATTACCGAATCTCATTTCCTTTTGCTCTTTCCCCACTGGGCGTGGACGAAAACCGGAAGCAAAGGGTACTTTTCCCTGGCGTTTTCAACAGATTTTCAGGTTCCACCTTTTAAAATTGAGAGTGCTAACCTAAAAAGAGGACATATATTATGAATGATAGATTTCATTGGAATCGATAAACTAATAAATGAAGGTAAACGAGTAATTTCATTTTGTCTGATATTTAAACTTCACGAAAATAAAAGTAAGATAGAGATAATCATAAATTTGACCGGTTCAAATAAATCCACTCTACGCACAATTTTTAGAAATACAAAAAACCTTAGAAAAAATGGCAATTTTCTTTAGAATCACGCTCTTCTCAAACACGTTCAGTGAAAGTCTGCGATTGGTCGAGGCCATTCTGAAGGTCATCCATTCCTCCTGAAGCTGTCCATCATCTGATTAAAAACATGCCTGTCTAAAACAACATAGTAAAGCCTTTTAATGTGTGAGGTCAAGGTAAGCTTACAAAATTCTCAGAAGTCTTGCATATTGGATATGTCAAAGACAACTCTCATCTAATTGGTCAATATTAATAGCATTTCAATCGCATGTCTACTCTGCAATTTGATTTTCACGTGTTTGGTACGTAAAACGAAAGCCTTATCAAGCCTTTAATCATGGATATCAAAACGTTGCTCGCCAATCTTCATGAAGAAGTATCCTGTTCTGTGTGTATGGTCACATTTACCGCACCAAAACAGCTACCATGTTTGCATAGCTTTTGCCTCCATTGTTTAGAGGGAATTCAACGGACGAGTGGTCGCCATGATGTGATAACATGTCCTGAGTGTCGAAGGGAGAGTCAACTTCCCGGAGGAAATCTTAAAGATCTGCCCACCAACTTTCGCATCAACAGCTTACTTGATGTGTTGGCCATACGGGAGTGCCGTTCTACTGGAGTCAAATGCGGAAACTGCGACAAACGAAGGGTAGAAAGCTTCTACTGTTTTCAGTGCTGTACATTCTGGTGTGACGAGTGTATCACTGTGCATAACTTACTCCGAGCAAACAAAGACCACCGAGTTCTCGCGCTAAGAGATTTTGAAGATCAAGACATCGAGGATGTCTTAAAACGACCAGCATTTTGTTCACGACAAGGCCACGAAAAGAAAGAATTGGAGTTCTTCTGTAAGAAATGTGAGCAAGCCATTTGCAATTCTTGTGTTGCAACCACTCACGATCGACATGGTAAGATACTACTGGAAGAAGCGGCAAATGAAAACAAATTGCTAGTCATGTCTGCGATTGAGTCAAGAAAAGCAAAACTGCAAAAGATGAGAAACAAAATATCTAAAATTGACGACGAGTGTGATAAAATCGAAACAAACGTCGCAAAAGTGAAAAGAAGCGTGCAACAATTTGCTGAAAGCATGATTGTTGTCATCGAAGCCAAGAAACAGCAAATCTTTACTGAAGCGGATCATGAGGCGCAACAATCTCTACAACGTTTGCGAGTACAAAGGTTCGAGATTGAAAACAGGGTCAAAAACATCGAAGCAGTAGTAGGAAAATCTGAAACGCTACTAAAACGAAGCACAAACGCAGAGCTTGCACAGATAGATAAAACATTGTGCACAATAATCCCGAAAGAGGTTGATGATGAGCGAGAAGAAATGGACTGTGACCTTGAAGGACTACGTGAATTTATTTTCGAGGAAAACGAATCCTTAAAAACAAAAACAAACCATGAAGGAATCGGCTGTATTCGTACGTTTCCCAACAAGACCAAAGTGGATCAGTCGATTGCTGAGGGAAAAGGACTCACTGAAGCGATTGTTGGAATTCAAGCGAACTTTGCTCTCACAACAAGAAATGCTGAAGGACAACAATGCTACGAAAAGCGTGACCGAGTAACAGCGGAAATAAAAAATCACCAAGGCCATGACTGTGCAACAGAAGTTCGAGTCCAAGATAAGAAAGATGGAAGCTACAAGATCAGCTATTTTGTCAAAGAAAGTGGAAGATGTGAGGCGGTAGTCAAAGTTAACGAAGAACATGTTCCAGGCAGTCCCTTTCCAGTTCAAGTGAAACCCAGGCAATTCAGACCCGTAATATCTTTCGGCCAACATGGTTCGACGGCTGGAATGTTAAACCAACCCTGGGGAGTGGCAGTTAATGAACGAGATGAAATTGCAGTGACTGAAATCGGTAACGAAAGGGTACAAGTATTCAGTTGTGATGGAACTTACCTACGGTCGATTGGTGGGAACGGTGATAAACAAGGAGAGTTCAGCTACCCAGCCGGAATGATTTTAGATGAGAAAAGTAACATTATTGTGGTGGAAAATGGAGCCCACTGTGTTAAATTGTTCAATGAGCAGGGTAAGCAAACAAGGCATTTTGGTGGGGAAGGAAATCTTGATTACCAGCTATCTAATCCTCTTGGTCTATCCGTAGACAACGACGGAAATATCATTGTTGCTGATTCAAAAAATAAATCGATCAAGATCTTTTCTCCTTTTGGCCACTTCTTACGAAAATTAGGGGGTGAAGGTTCTTTCACCTTTCCGTTTCACTGTGTGCAATATGACAAATATCTGATAGTGTCAGACGCGTACGAACATTGTATCAAAGTGTTTGAAAGAAATGGTAATTTTCTGTACAAATTTGGAAAGAAGGGGAAGGGGTATGGGGAGTTCGATAACCCTCGTTGTTTGTCAGTTAACAAGGCAGGACACCTGATGGTTTGTGATTCTTCAAATCACAGAGTTCAGGTATTTGAGCTGAGTGGAAAATTTTTGACAAAATTTGGATCAAAAGGAAAGAGTAAGGGAGAATTTAATCGCCCTGTCTCTACTGCAGTGCTCAGCGATGGTCGAATAACTGTGTCCGACTTCGGTAACAATCGCATCCATATATTTGAATAGATAGACATCGCTGGAACGTGACCGATTTTAGTTAATTCTGTCCTGTAGTCACACAAGTAACAGCTTTCGGCCAGCAACTATATCTTTCAAAGGTAACCACCTTCTGCATGCATGGTCATTAAAACCATAAAAATAACCTTATAATTTTGTCGAATTTTGTCTGACTTTAATAACCATCGCATTAAGAAATTTAAATGACCATGACAATGACAAAAGTAAAAGCTTTCAGACAGTAACCTTTGGCACTTTATTAAAGCCCCAATATAAGCAGTAAATTTTGAGTTGCAGAGAATTTGGATTAATTTAGCCTGTTGCCAAGAAAAAAATAGTAAAATAATGACGCTTGCTCTGCAAGCTGGGGTTTACCTAAGGTTATTCTGTTAGTCAACTTTGTGAGTAAGCTCTATTAGGTCTACACTTTGCACTTTTCATTACTTACGTTTTATATTAAGACTATTATCTTCACAAGCTACCAAAATCAGACCCAACTCGACAAATACAATCATCCATAGTGATGTACCTGCAAGTAACAATATAATTAGAGAAAAGCATTTTTCATAGCTATCATTCATTCCATTAGATATTTCCAACTCTTCAAATTTTGAGCTTTTACGGCTTATCTGGGAACTTAGGCCAGAATTCGACAAACAGTTCATGAATAGTTTAGTGAGAATAGCAAATTTTATGATTGCAATTGTAAATCATCTTGAGCTGAAAACATGTAGTATTTTTCATCTTCCGCACTGAATTTGTAATTAGATAACTTATACGACTACGTAGCTCTTTTAGAGGCGCTACCTTGGGTACGCCCTTTCTTCTCCGAATTTTGTGTTTATTCTGCTGTTATGCAACAGCCTTCAAGGACTATTTTCGTTTAGGATACCTTTTTAAGTATGATTTTAAATCTGTTACTAAGTTTATTATAATTTTTATACTGTCAATCTTGTTTTTGTTCTGCCCAAACTTGACTGTAAGACCAAGAAATTTAAGTTAGAAAGACATTTTGTAAAGCGTAAACATCGCGAAGGTATCTATTTAGTATGCGAACTCCGTTTTGCGTAGCCCAACGTGATTCGTTATTTAAGTGTAAAAACATGACGAGGGTCAGAGATTGACAGCTCAGTAAGTGTCACCTTTATAAACGGTGACCCACACTTTCCTCGGGAGATCAGAGCTAGTCTTCGTTGTAATAACTTGTGTAGAAGAGAGAATAAAGAAAGAGACAACAAGACAACTAGTGTTAGAGCAAATTTTACTCTTAACAATATCTATAAAATTACTTTCTCAAAATTATTCCCTTTAATTATTTCCATAAAATGGTAAGTAGTATAGTTGAGATGGTTTTCAAAGTGGTCTCATACCGCCATCTCCTATGCTACTAATATTAATAGTATTTTAATCGTATGGCTACTTTGCGATTTGTTTTACGCGTTTGATACATAAAGCGAAGGCCTTATCAAGCCTTTAATCATGGATATCAAAACGTTGCTCGCCAGTCTTCATAAAGAACTATCCTGTTCTGTGTGTATGGTCACATTTACTGAACCAAAACAGCTACCATGTTTGCACAGGTTTTGCCTCCACTGTTTGGTAGGAATTAAAAGAAACAGCGGCCACCATGATGTCATAACATGTCCATGTCGAAGGGAGAGTCAAGTCCCTGGAGGAAACCTTAAAGATCTGCCCGCCAACTTTCGCATCAACAGCTTACTAGAAGTGTTGGCCATAAAGGAGTGCAGTTCCACTGGAGTCAAATGCGGAAACTGCGACAGACGAAAAGTAGAAGGTTTCTACTGTTTTCAGTGCTGTGTGTTCTGGTGTGAAGAGTGTATCACTGTGCATAACTTACTCCGAGAAAATAAAGACCACCGAGTTCTCGCGCTGAAAGATTTTGAAGATCATGACATCGAGGATGACTTAAAACGACCAAGATTTGTTCCCGACAAGGCCACGAAAAGAAAGAACTGGAATTTTTCTGTAAGAAATAAGAAGAAACCGTTTGCAGTTCATGCGTTGTAACCGCTCACGATGGACATGCTAAGGTACTCTTAGAAGAAGCGGCAAATGAAAATAAATTGGAAGTCATGTCCGCGATTGAGTCTAGAAAGGCAAAAGCGCAAAGGATGAGACACAAAATCTCTCAACTTGACGAAAGGTGTGACAACATCGAAGCAAAAGTCGCCAAAGTAAAAAGAAGCGCGCAACACTTTGCAGAAAGCATGATCGCTGTTATCGAAGCGAAGAAACAGGAAATCTTTAATGAAACAGATCAAAAGGTGCAACAATCCCTGAAACGTTAACGAAAACAAAGGGTCGAGATTAAACACAAAGTTAAAATCATCGAAACAGCAGTAGGAAACTCTGAAACGCTTTTAAAAAAAAGCACAAACGCAGAGCTTGCCAAGTTAGATAAGACTCTGAACACAATAATCCCGAAAGAAGTCGATGATGAGCGAGAAGTGGACTGTGACCTTGAAGGACCAAACCAATTTATTTTCGAGGAAAACGAATCCTTAAGGGCGAAAACAACCGATGAAAGGATCGGCCGTGTATTTACAACCTTCCAAATCAGCGAAACCAAAGCGAATCAATCAACTGCTGAAGGAAAATGAATCATTAAAGCGATCGTTGGAATTGAAGCGAGCTTTGTTTTAACAGGACAACAATGCTATGAAAAGCGTGCCCAAGTAACAGTGGAAATTAAAAGTTAACAAGGGCATGACTTTGCAACGGAAGTGCGAGTTAAAGATGACAAAGATGGAAGTTACAAGATCAGCTATTTTGCCAAAGAAACTGGACGATATTGATCACCAGCTGAATACTCCTCGTGGTTTATCTGTAGATAATGAAGGCAATATTATTGTTGCTGATATGTATAACAAATCAGTTAAGATCTTTTCGAAAGGTGGCCATTATTTAAGCAAATTGGGGCGTGAGGGTTATTTTACCTTCCCCTTTCACTGTGTACAATATGACAAATATCTCATAGTGTCAGACCACGAAGAACATTATACCAAAGTGTTTGATAGAAATGGTATCGTTTTTGTTCAAATTTGGAAAAATGGGGGAGGGGAATAGCGAGTTCAATTTCCCTAAGTGTTTTTCAGTTGACAAGGCAGGACACCTGATAGTCTGTGATGGAAATCACAGAGTACAGGTATTTGAGCTAAGTGGGAAGTTTGTGACAAAACTTGGATCAAAAGGAAATTGTGAAGGAGAATTTATTCTTCCTCTTTCAACTGCAGTGCTCAGCGATGGTCGAATAGTTGTCTCTGACTTTTTGAACCATTGCATTCAGATATTTGAGTAAACATGAGAACACTTACCAAATTTGAATTAATGTTATCAAACCCTTAAACAAGAAACTGCTTTTGACAAGCTATTTATCATATGGTCAATGAAACTACAACGCCACCTATAACATCACAAATTTCAGAGATTGAACGTTTAAGTACGTTTGATCTGTCAATAAGCCTAGTCAATAACCTTAATTAGATCAATTATTAAACAAGTTTTAAACTTTCGTATGATATCAAGTTTAAAACGTTGCAAAAGCTACAAAATTTAGTTCATTTATTCCTCATGTTAATACTGAGAGATTTGGCTTCAAGTAATGATACATCCAAAATAAGGATCTTGCCGGTTTCAGCTGTAATAGTTTCCTTAATATTTCCAACACTATGCTGAGTTGGGAATCTATTCCGGAGATAAACCAGTTGAGTGAATGGACTGTCTCTTATATAGTAGTAAATGTTGTAATTTCTTAATTAACATTGTAATAACCGCTTGTAAATATTCAAAAAGTAGAAATGTGTGAAGAAACGGAACACGAATCTCAGAATTGAACCTTGCGAACCTTAAGAATTGAACCTTGCCAACCTTAAGAATTGAACCTTACGAACTCAACACTGTTTATTTACACACGCATAGCATATATATATTAGAATTGAGTTTAAGCCTTCGAGAGAAGTTGTTTTTCTCGAGTACGGATAGTTTTTTTTTTGACGAGCTAGAGCCTTGGAATCTTGTAAATCTAATTCTAGGAGGATATTGCCAATAAAAACCTTAACAATGAGTACTCATGAGGGGCTCATTAAAAAGGCGAAACAAATTTGGGACTTTGGCAACCAACCGCTTAAATGCGGTGCGGCTTAAAACGTCTTGAAACAGGCTCGATTTAATAGGATATTTAATATCAGTCAGAGGTCATGCCTGGTGATTCTTAATAGCATATTGTTTGAAATCGATCAACTTTTGTGGGATCTTGCGCGGATTTTAGTGCACTTCACGACAGTCTCCTTCGCTGCCGTTCTCACGATGTCACGTTGCGTGACATCTCAACTCAATCGTTCACCACAAGAATGTGTGACTACTAGCTAAGTCACAACTTCCTTGAATAGAAGTGTGGTCTGTTCTTCGATGGAAATCTTTCAAGTCACGGCAGAGACTAGTAGCTACTCGTGGCCCCATGGGAAAGAGAGATAGAAAAAAGCTCTGAAACCTTACAGGCAGTGTTAAGCCAAACATTTGTCGCTGATGTAATTTCGAAAAAACTGACCGTGTTGTGCGACATTCACTCAAAAATCCTCCGAACAAAATTACACCATAAATATCAGGACAACATTACCATAGAGAATTAGAAAATATAAATATAAATAGGTTAGAGGTACTACATGCACAGTTATTTACGTACACGCTACGAGTGATTACAGGTAATCAAATTTCTGAATGAATTCAACTCACCTCGTGCTTACGGTTAAAATCTTGTTAAACGCTTTGTATGTGTTGCTTAATTCTCCCTTTACAAACGATAAACTGCTGCGTTTTCCGGTTACATATCGCAAATTCGTATGCAAGAAGAGAATGTTTCATTATACGAACTGGACACCAGCGACAGTCACTGATTCAAAACTCACAGCGGTCAATCGAAGGGCATGCGCAAGAGGATCGATATCAGCCGGCCGGCGCCGATTTCCCGCGAAAAAGCTGCTATGCAAAAC